TACTAGTTTTAACTTTTTTTTTTCTTCAAAATTCTAATCATTCAAGTATAAACGGGATTACATCGCAAGACAGCTGATCCTAGGATGATATATTGGTTACATGAGGATGAGGACTGTTTTTATTTGATTCGATTTGTGGATTAAATGATTATGATTTAACTGATTTAGTAACTATTTTAGGTTCGAACAACTAAAAAGATGTCCAAATCTATTGTTGCATGATCCTGTTTCATTGTTCAATAGTAAGAAGAATAAAAGAAGAAATTTTCGATTTGAACTCATTCCCACTTTTTTTTTAAAAAAACTGACCCTATCGCGTTTTATTTACTGGGATCGACCTACTTTGTGGCCACGTCAGTAGCGTGACTGACGTGGCCACAAAGCGGGTTGATTTTTTTTATCTGATTCCTTAATAGTCGGAGTTGGCAACCCCGACTATTTGCTAATGTACAAGCTAAATTAGTCGGGGTTACCAACCCCGACTAATTTAGGACCATGTCTAATTAGTCGGGGTTGGAAACCCCGGCCAATTTGAAAGCCTTTTTGGAAATGGTCGGGTTTCCCAATCCTGTCCATCTTCAAGGATACGGATGGAGATTCTCTCGAGATCCAGTGAAGAAGACAAGGACGAGTACTTGAGACACAAGGGTTCCTCTCGAAGAGGTAATAATTAATTTGATTATTGATTTTTGAGTTGTTTCTGTTTCTAATCCTTCTCTTTGTTTTTATATGAAGGGGATTTTACGGTGAGATTTGATGGGAAGAATGCGGAGCTGAAGCAGTGGATGCTGACGCCGAGATCGAAGCATTCCGCAACGGAGCAGCGACGGAGGAGCAAAATTAATGATAGATCCGTCATTTTGATGGATAATGCTAGTTCTCCCATCTTTGGTTGGGCTGTGGGTCCCACATGTCTTCTCTATCTTCACCTACGTCATTGCATGGGCTTGTGGCTAGAAAAGTTTTTCCCTACCCGAAGTAAAAAATGTCAGTTGTTGACTTATTATTTCTATTATATAAAAATATCTAATTAGAGGGCCCATTAAGATAATCAATAGTACTATTCCATGTAGCTAATTATAAGCTTTCTTTACAATTAAGATTGTAAGAATCTGGACCATATTTCTAAACCTACGGCACAAATTCCTGAAACTACAAAAAAAAAAGTAAAAGAATCCTGCTGTAAAATAGCATTTTCTTAATAATATAGCATATTTCAAATAGCCAACGTTAATATGTTTTAAGATATATATACAGAGCACGAATTATAAAAATAATATTAATTCTACCTAAAGAATGTGTTGCATTTCTGAGATAAATATAACATGGTTGAATTATTACATATTGTATTTTTGAGCAGTTCATATATATCATTCCTTGGTATTCATTTGAGCTCTTTCGTATTCCCTCGAAAGCCTAAGTGGAAATGAGAGAGTACATATATAAACACAGTACAAACTTTGCGTCAGTTTACATTTGCTCCTCTATTTTCTATTTTAGAAACAGAGAACTGCAAATAGGTGTGGGCGCGTACCGTTACACACCTTCTACATATGTAAAAATAAAAGCCAACAGCTTCGGTGCTTCATGACATCTTCTGTAAATAGAAAAGCCTAAAATCTAGCTCTCTAATCCACAATTTAAGGGATTATGCGTCTGTAAATAGAAAAGCCTAAAATCTAGCTCTCTAATCCACAATTTAAGGGATTATGCGGTTGATAGGCCTTCCACACCTACATTTCCACAATTTAAGGGATTATGCGGTTGATAGGCCTTCCACACCTACATTTGTAAATAGGTTGAACTTAGAAGGTAGTTTTGGAGTTGAAAACATCATAGAAAAGTATAAAACTAATATTTGAGAAGGGTTAGTTTTCTTCAACTAATTTTTCACTTGATCGTTAACAAAATCTTATTTGGCCTTATTCTATCATATTAGATTTCTCTCTTCTATTTTTCCTTCCACGTTCTGTTTTGCAAATTTGAACATGGGAGCAGGGCCGGCCCCAGGGGCAGGCGGGAGAGGCCTGCGCCTAGGGCCCCCAAAAAACAGGGCCCCCTATGTAATTTTATATATATACATATGGAAATTGGAAAAGTAAGAGGATTTTTATGCAAAAGTGTTAGAGGCTATAAATACAAAAACGAAAAACCCTTGGTCTCTCCGATTTCCGAAGTGGCCGTCTGATCGCCGACCTCTCTTCTTCTTCTCTGATTCTCTCTGAAGTGACGTTTCTTCTTCCCGACTCCGTCCGGACCGTCTGCAGTCCGCTCCTCCGTCGTCAAACTCCACGACGCCGTCTCCGGCGACTCCCTCCGTCCCTCCTACCAGCAAGGCAAACGCGACCTCGCCGCCAGTGTCTTTGCCCTTTGGAGACTCTATCTCTGTCTGCAATCTGCGCCTCCTCTGGCCGGCGACTCCGTCAAGGTTACAAGGTATATAAGTATATTTGAATAATTGAATATTTCTATAAACTATACTTAGAATAGCATAATATCTTTGTTTCATCACTTCATGACCTAATAATACTTTTGCTTTGTTATTGATTCTATACAGCACGAATCTGTGCATAACATTATTAACATACATGAATTAGTTGTATAAACAAAGTATGAATCTGTGCATAACATATATTATGAATCTGTGCATAACATATATGAAATTATGAATCAGACTATACTTAGTATATTTGCTGATTAGTGATTAATCAATTGAAAACAGAAACCATAATATGCATACAGGCTGTATAATCAAAGTGCGGTACCTGAACAATGAAAATCAGTAGCTAGTGATCCATACTTCAAATGATTGCATCGTGTCCCAAAAAAATCTTTAAGTCCAAACTTTGTTTTTGTCTATTGAATAGGAAGAAGAGATAAAAGTGCATCTTTTAGGATTCAGGCGTGTTGATCTGAAATTTGTTTGAAGTTAAACTATTCAAATTTTAAGGTAATTTTATAACTTTATAAATTATAATATTTGTTGATCTTATGTATTTTAGTATTTGTATATAATTTTTTATGTAGGCATCCCTAAAGTTACTTAGGTGCAACACTTTATTTTTTTTTAAAAATCTTGAATATAGGAGGGCCCCTTTAAGATTTTTGTTCAAGTTTTTGCCTAGGGCCCCCGAATGCTCAGGACCGGCCCTGCATGGGAGGTTGGAAAAGTAATTCAAAACCAAACATTTGATAATTGGGTTAAAGAAGTATATGAAGGACTCAATTTCCTCATAGACTTTTTGTTAGTAATAATAATGTTAAGGAGGAAAAAAATCTGAGGCATGAAGATAGATCACTTTCCTTAAATAAATATTCGACACTTAATAACCTAAGTTTGCTTTAGATTAAGCGACTAAGCTTCCTAAGATAGAACAAATTATGAAAATTCTATAGAGCAAATCTAAAAAATTTCACTGGTTCTATGTAAACAAGCTTGTAGGATTGCAGCTTTTTTAGAGAAAAAAGTTTAAGAAAAAAGTAAAGTTTTAAGTATGAAAACATAGGCCTCTTATGGGGTTGAAAGGGTTTACTCAACAATCGCATATTTTCAAAACGCTCTTTGAAAATAACGAACACTTTAGAGCATCTCCAACAGCTTCCCCAAAATTTTCTCCAAAATGGAGAAACAAAAGTCATATTCTCCAAATTATTTTTGCTCCAACTCCAACAGCTTCTCCATTTTGAAAAATCGCATTTATTACAATAATAAAGCTCTCTCCAAAATTTTGAAGAATGCTGCAGATTTGGGGAAGACTCCCTATTTTTTCTCCTCCTTCCCTATTTTGGGGAATGAGATGGGGAATCTGTTGGACAAAAAAAAAGCTCTATATTCCCCAAAATTGAGTATTTCAAGAAGATGGGGAAGCTGTTGGAGATGCTCTAATGCCTAGTTTCATACGCGGGAAACTTTCAAAAAAAATAGTATATATATTATAAAAATAAATAATTAACAGTGGAAACTTTCAAATAATTAACAGTCATTTTTCAATAGTGGAAACTTTCAAATAATTAACAGTCATTTCTTAATTTTGAATTTTAAAATAATTTCTGAAAATTAAATAAATAATATAATAAAAGTATATATATTATAATTTAGAAGCTAATGCTTCGACTCATTTGTCAAATCTAATAATCATTATAGGCTTTGTTGATGGAATACATGTATAAAAGAAGATCGAGTTTGAAAGAGGTACGAATGTTAAAGAAGACGCATCAATTGCATGATAATTATTTCAATGCTTAATAAAACGGGCAGATATGAAAACAAATACACCGACCTCAACAATATTTATGAGCTTAGAGACGCGGGTTGTTTTTTTTTTTTTTTTTTTTTGGGGGGGGTGGGGGGGGGGGGGGTTGAATATGAGAGAGAGAGAGAGAGAGAGAGAGAGACTTTAATTCATGATGAAGTGGTGTGGGTGAGTTTTTAATTTGGGACTAAAGAGGTGTTGGAGTGCTTTAAATTTGAGTTCTTTAGTGACCCAAATGTGGACGAAGTTGGAGTTAATGGAAGAGCGATGACATTCAATCCCCTTCTCAACCGTATTACTCAATACTCACCTCCCCCCCCCCCCCTCCATCAATTTATTGTCACCTCCCTTCCTTACGCTGCACCCCCGCCCAACTCCCTTCCCTTCCCAAATTAGCTACCCATATTAATTTTTGAGCCGTGGAATAACCGAACGGTAATATTTAGTACTTTCTTATACCTCCCTTCTGTTTCCTTCCCCCCCCCCCCCCTGTTTTCGTGTGGGCTTTGTCACGTGTGGTGGAGCACAAAAGGGGCCGTGTAATCTATGAACACGTGAGGTGGAAAATGATGCTGCGAGGGTAAGAGTGAGCGGGTGTGGGTGTGGGTGTGGGTGTACGAGAGGGAGCGGGTACGTGGGCCTTTTTCCGATGACCCTTCTGAAGCATTCTCTATTGGATCCTTCCGGTGCAGTTCAACCCTCTTAAATGGGGCCTTAAACACACCCTATATAACGACCTCAATTCCACCGTTGGTGTACACTCTCACACACAAGTGACGCGCATATAGAAGAAAAGAGAGGGAGGGGAAATTAAACTTTATTAATTAATTTCTTCATCAAACTAAATTCCATGGTGTCCTTGCAAGCGTCCCTTCGCCAAGGAGAAAGGAAAACTAGCCTAGATGATCAAGAGAAGATCGCCTTGTTGTCTTCGAAGAAAAGAAAGTGGGGAGGAGGAGGAGGAGGAGAGAGCGAGAGGGATCAGGAGCTCGCCAAGGAGCTCAAACTATGTAAAAAAGAACAAGATGATGATGATGTCGAGCTCAATCTCGACGCTCCCTTGCCTCTAGAGTGGGAAAGGTGCCTTGATATCAAGGTACATAATAATACATATATATTTCCTTCTTCTTCTTTTTTTTTTTTTTGGTTCTGTGTGGTGTTAGCTAGGCATTAATTAATTATATATGTTACAATTTTCATGTTGCAGTCTGGTCAGATACACTTCTACAACACCAGGACTCACAAGAGGACCTCCAAGGACCCCAGGTCAAGCCCACGTCCGAGCCTAGACCTTGAGCTCAACCTCAATTTGACGAACCAAGTCGATCAACAGGTGCGAACCGAGCATGAGCCTAGTAATGAAACTGATCGCCAACTGATCAAGCGTAAGGATGATAATTCTGGCAGGCCTTCTTCACCGTCGCCCTCATGGATTTCATTCGACACCGATCGGCAAGAGATGGTAGCGGCCGTGTGCGTGAGATGCCACATGCTTGTTATGATGTGCAAGGCGACTCCATCTTGCCCTAACTGCAAGTTCGTGCACCCGCAAGGCCAGAGCTCTACTTCCTTCCATGAGATTAGTAAGCCTCTAGGGTTTAGGCTCTTGTGTTGCAAGGACTAGATCGATAGCCCTTTAATTAATATTGCGTGTTATAAATTGTAGGTCGATCTCGTGAAGATGTAAATACACAAATTAAATAGTAGATATTTTGTCAGTTGTTTGTTTAATAACAGCTAGGTATAGTATTGTAAGTAGGGGATGGTCGTTGGTAGTGAATCTGTGGATGCAACATTTTGTCCGTGTGAGTAATTGCGTGTATTATGATGGTATAAAGAAAGAAGCAAATTAAGGGTAGTAAATGCAAATCTTCCGTTGGATTAATGGTAATCCTCGCCTTATCTTAATTTCATGTACTCCCTTTTTTAATTCATTAGTGGTAGAGTGAGAGGCTTAATTACTTGATTTTTTGGCAGGGAAGTAATGAATTTGACGTACGATCTTGTAGTTGAGAATTGAGAACAATAATCCATACGTCATAATTTTGTTAGCTTAGTTACTATGCTTTATGCTATAAACAAAAGCTTCGATCGGTATTCTTATGGGACAAAGCAACATGCGTTCTTTACTTTCTCTTTCAGATTCTATTCAAAGCAAGGATACTTATCCTGTTATTTTTCCTATAATTGTAAATAAAAAATACTTCTCTTGAGTTAATATCTTTCAATAAGAGTAGATTTTTTGATACCGGTTATATGCTTATAATTTTCATCTAGATACTCTTCGTCGATTGATTGTTGGATCATATTTCATCAATCCTTTTAGTATGACAACATCATCTAACTAGATTAGACGTCCAACTTAGAGCAACGTGACACGAGGCATTTTTTTTGTTTTTACATCTTCTAATCTTTCATCTTAGAGCAACGTGACACGAGGCATTTTTTTGTTTTATCTCCTGTAGTCAGCCCGCCCCGCCCCCCCCAACGCCTTCTCCATATTCTTTACTGATTCCATCTGATTATTAAATTCCTAATTCTCTCGGGCCTCATTTGATATGCAGGAATGGATCAGAATGATTCTCATTCATGTATACCAAACATGGCACATTTTTTAAAGCTAGAATGCTCATGAGCATTCCTAATGATTTGGTAGGGAATGGGCATTCCCACTTAAATGGGAATGAAAATTAAATTAAATACCACATATTTCTTAATTTTTTATTAATTATCCATACCCAAAAATAAAATGATTTTTCATTCTTACTTTATTATCTAATCGTATCCAAACATGAGAATGTAAATGACCATTTCAGTCTCGCATTAATTTTATTTCATTTTATACTCCATTCCATTTTGACTTCACTCGATTCCCGCGTATCAAACTAGGCATTAGCATCTTGCCTTGATTACCAAGTAAATTTTATAATTTTCACTAAATTTTTTTCCCCTGAAACAAACATCTATAAAGAAAAAAAAATAAAAAAGAATGTAATAATCATGTTTGGGCGTTTAGCGAAAGGAATGGAGGTGAATCATTTCTTAGCTGTTGATGTATTATGATGGTCCGCAACAATTCAATCCTCTACCCTCTAATTTGAGGGTTAACCAAATTATATAAAATAAAGGTTAGGGGATGTGAGATTTGTTACTTCATTCCCTTTCAAAAAAAACTCAGAAACATTAACGCCTCATTTGGTACGCGGGATTGGAGTCAAGTGAGAATGGAAAGAAGGTAGGAATGGAATGGAATAGATGTGAGAATGGAATGTGCATTCTCTTTCTCATGTTTGGGCGCGTTTAGAGAATGAAACGAGAATGACAATCTTATTCTCATTCTCATGTTTGGTATCATTTGTTCACATGTGAGAATAAAATTTAGTTTTCTAATAATGCCCTTACAAAAACACATAATTTTAAAAACATAAAATTATTTTAAAAATGACTAAATAATTTATTTTTTAGAAAAATAAGTTTTATAGAAATGATATTTTTTTCTTATAGAAATAATTTTTTAGTTGATAGTTATATTTTGATACATCGCCTCAACAACAATTTTGGACTTTTGCTTTACTAATTAAAAAATAATTTTCATAGAAACTATTTTTGATTATAGATAATTATAATTCCACATTTTTAACTTCTAATGCTACATGTCTACTACGTGTACGAGCAGCTAATGCTAGTACTAGCATCACTATGCACAAACGTATACAATAGACTAAATTCCATATGCATGCTGCATGATTTATGACTGAATTCCATGTGCATGCATGAAGAGAGAAATCGGAAGAAAACACTAAAATTTGAAGGATTAGAAAAACATGTTAACTTTTAGTTTGTATATAAAATTTCAATGAAATTTCAAATGCACCTTTAACTTTCGAACAATTGGTTAGGAGTAGAAAATATGTTAACCTAGAAAGTTTGAAGGAATAGAAAGCATGTTAATCTCTAATCAAAATATAAAGTTCTTATCTCATCAATTAAGCACATTATTTCTTGTTGTGAGTGCTTTAAAAAAATTACTGAAAAGATTAGGCACATATGCTTCAATGGAACTTCAAATCATACATCCAACGATCAAATATTTACTAACTTAATTGCTAATAGATTACGCAACCGAGTCGCTAAAAGATAAAAAGTTATTGTAAAGATTAGGTAAAGATTAGCCACACATACATATTTTAAAAAGAAATAATGGTTACCTAACCGAGTCGCATCAAGACGAAGATGAGATTTTTTTTTCTACTACAGACGCGATGGAACTAGAGTAAAGTCGAACAAAGAATAGTATTTTAATATTTTGCATCTATTTATATATTTGTACGAGCAACTAATGATATTATTTCCATAGAAATAATTTTTCGTATGAGAATTTATATACATTCATATCTTTTAAGGAGGGTATAATCAAAAATTATTTGTTTATTTTTATTCCCACTTAAGTGGAAATATTAATTACTTGTCAAATGGTTGAGAATAATAATTCTCACATAAAGTGGGAATTGATTTGTGTTTAGTACGCATGAATAAAAAGTTGGAATTGCATTTCATTCTCACTCATTCCCATGTT